CAGAAGATAAGGGAACTGGCAAGAAGAGCAATATCGTAATCAACAAAGAAACTAACCGACTGAATGCCGAAGAAATAGAACGCATGATAAATGATGCTGAGAAGTTCTCCGAACAGGACAATCGGGTTAAAGAACGCGTGGAAGCGCGAAATGAGCTCGAAGGCCTTGCCTTCTCACTGAAGACGCAACTTAATGACAAGGAGAAGCTGGGTGCGAAATTGAGTGATTCCGATAAGGCAAGCGTTGAGAAGGCTGCACAGGAAGCTATCGACTGGCTGGAAAAGAATCCTCAGGCTGAAGCGCAGGAGTGCAAAGACCAGAAGAAGAAGCTCGAGGAGGTCGTTCAACCTATTATGAGCAAACTATATCAGCAAGAAGGTGCCCCACCCCCTCCCCCTGGTGCAAAGGAAGAGCTATAATTTTATGTTGACTTTTTTTGTACAGTTGTATACGACACGATTTTGAATTGTCGGTTCTGATGTGCGTATTCCATTCGTTGCTCACCGTCGCGGTTTTGGTCTCCTGGCTTATTTCCTATAAACTTGTCTCCGCAGTTGTTCTTCTACGTTGGTTTCGTCAGATTGTGCTAATTAGGATCATATCCGATGTATTCGTTCTCTTCGACATGCAAGGGCTACGTCGCGCAAGTTCTTACCCACTCCTACAGTTTGTTTTGATAACGCAAATCTTGATCCAGCTTATCTTAGTCGCTAAGAAGGCCGAAGAATCATGCAGCAAAAAATTCTGAGGATTGACGTTTTGTAATTTATCCTATATTAAACTGACATTTTTCTTCAGGTTTAAGATTCATCTGCCTACTAGAAGCGGGCAGCCAGTCTTGTAGAAGTGTTAACAACAATTAGAAGGCTATCGTGCAGGTCACATACGGCAGCTAGTTTTCATCGACTTCGACACATTAAGCATTGTCAGTCAGAGTCCGGCGGGCCAACGTGGGTGAGTCCGGTAGCTCAGATGGCAAAGCGTTGAATTCAGATGATTGATGGTCCGCTGAATGCGAGTTCAGAATTTGACGTGGCGGCAGTATCGATGGTCGATGATGGTCAATTTTTTCCCGAAGGGACGACTTCAATGCCCTAAGGTTTCATTGGTAGCATCCCGCCAACATTTGCCCACATGTGACGGTCACCTCGTAGTAATACGTGTCCTTGTCTGCAAGGTATCCTGATTCGCACGTCAGTGTACTCAGGCAGTTGAAGTTTGAAGGCATTTCTTTGAGCCGGTAGGACTGCCAGGCACACGCGGCCGGTTTAGGACGCCAGTAGTCCGGAAAAGCGTTCGAACGCAAGCATTCGGATATCGATTTTACTTAACTCTCAAAGCGCCCCTATGGTCTTTCTCCCTCGACACTTGAGTCTCTAGAAGACAAGGGGAACCGGGTTGTGATACGTGCCTTAGGCAGCCAAACCTGCTGAGAATGAAATCAGTTGGATCTAGGTGTATAGTCTTTAGTGTCAGCCTAGGGTTTTAATTAAAAGAACCGTGATTCAATCTCCACAGTTTGACATGAGGGCTTTCATGTAGTAAGTTACTCAGACGTTTTAACAGCGAGGTAACAGGTTATCCATATCGCTCGGTGGTACCATCATGTCGCTAAGTGGGACGGCTTATTTATCAACTGGCCAGGTTTGTTTGTTGTGGCCGGTCCATGCGGTCTGGCAATGCTTTCGCATCATTTGTGACTGATCCTTGACTATTATCTGTCGGCTCCTGTGCAGACCATCCCGTTGCATGCTGGAAGTTAGTCCATATTACAGTAGTCGCCGGTTATTAAGCCCACCTCGGGCCCAGAGCAAATTGG